ATATATTTTCCAAAATCTTTGTTCTTTCAGTTTCTTTTTTCATATATATATATATAGATGAAAATGTTACGGTCCGGTTACGGAATCATTACGTCGGGCTTCGTAACCATTTAATCAACTATCTCAACGATTATATGATGATCTAATTCAATCTAACTGTGAGTTGATGGATACAATGCAATCTAAAACAAGTATCGAATTCTTGAATAAGATAAGCTTTTCAAATTAACGTCAAATCCCAGTTACAGCATAAATTTGCAGAATTAATTAAATTTGAAATTGGGGCTGAATAATTTATTTAATTAGAGATATAATGAATAATAAGCAGAGTAAAGAAGAAGGTTGACATACCATGAACATGATCATAAATAAAATTAAGATGCTTTTGAGCTTTATATATTCTCCATCTCTTTATTCTTCTTTAAGCTTAACATTGAGCTGGCCATTAATTAATTGCTTCTTCTTTTTTTCAAGGTTAAGAAAAACCTAAAAAAGTGATTCTTTTAATTGGTTCCATCTTTTGCATTATTTTAGTAATGTCCGATAATAAAGTGCCATATTTTTCTTAATAATATATATATGTTAGGTGTGATTTTATTTTATTTCCTAGATCGGTTATGTTCACCTGTGTTGTACTTACAATTAAGATCAGTCATAACTAATATTGATTCACAAGTAGATTCTGCTCGATATACATAACTAATATATACCAAGATATAGAAATGTTTTCCATATACATTCAAGATATATTCATAGAAAAATATGTGCCTCTTAAATTATAATATAACAGAATTATATGTTTATTATAAAGTAATTTATGAATTAATTTCACAGAGGATACTAATAGAACACTTATTAATAAATTTATATTTTCTAAATTTTACTTTGAAAATCCACAATCAATTGACTGAAAACCTATGGTCATAAAATAATTATCTTTGAATATTTATTCTTAAAATAAATAAATGAATGAAAGGATAATTGGGTTTGAAGTCAGCAAGAGTAACGTGCATAATTGGGCCCTTCTTGTCCAATTATGTCCCTGACAAACTAAATTGGGCCACAATCATCGTTAAATGCAGCCCAGTAAGTTAAGACTTCAGCAGCCCAACCGAAATGATGTAGAACATACATACGCTAATACACTATTTATAGATTATAAGTACGAAATGCTCAAAATATTGTGACATATATATATAATGGTTGGCTAAATAGTAAATAGTAAAACTGTAATTAGAATAATGTTAAAAGTAGTAGTTTAAGCTCTAATTTGTCTTGATCTTGGTAAACTTGGTTTTGTGTTATGTAGAGATATGGATTATGTTTCATATAACTTGAGATGACTAATTGTTAGGTTGAATTAAAGTGAATTATTGATCAAAATCATTGTTAGATTGAAAAGATCAAAAGTCAACTTAATAATTTAATTAAACCAATGTTTGACCACCTGATCATGAAAGTTATGGGTGGCTGGCTAGGTTAATCTCAACATGTACACACAATTATGCTATGGTAGGTACATAGGTTACACTGAAAATGATTATACTATACAATTAATATATAAATATATAAAATATGTTGATGCTTTGAACCAGCATTAATTTGTTGCTAACTTAATTAGTGATTAACAACATCTAATTAGTAATCTGGCTTAAAATTAAATATACGATTTTCAGCATTTATACTTGTTGCTCGGACTATTAATTAGAAGAAAATTAAGGTACTATGGTCATTAATATGCCTCTTGGAAAAAAAATATATATACACCCCTCTAAAATAAAGGGCCGTGATCCGTTATACTATATGAATAAAATGCATACTTATACTTTCAAATTTTTTTATTTATATTAGTATTTAAAGTATGTTACTACCTCCTATTTTTAATATATGTCGTTTTGAAAAGTTACACACTAATTAAGAATATTTTTTTTGTCAATAACAACCTTATTTAATGAAGATAGAGATGAATGTTTTGAGAAAAAGTGAAAAGTGAATATGAAAAGACAATAATGTATTTATTAGCTAAATGAGAGTAATAATGGAAAAATATGTACAATATATCCAAAACGACATTTATTTGGCAAATAGTTGAAAAGGCTAGAATGACATTTAAAAAAATAGGAGGGAGTATTTTTTAATAAATAATTATTATCTACTCAAATTAAATCTACCATTTTTTCATTTTATATACGAATTTGAAGTTATTTTTTTTTTTTGGGTACAAGAATTTGAAGTTATTTCGAACAATGCTAAAGCATGTTTTAGAAGCTAACAGACAGTGATACTAGTAATTTTCAACAAAAATTAATCAAGACAGACAAAAATCTGAATCTACCATGATTACTCTTTTTTTTTTTTACATGAATATTCATCAAATGATTAATTTGTATTGGATTAGTTTATGGTATTATCGTAAGTATAATTAAATAAGTCGCACAAACACAAATCATTGGGCCGAATTGAATTTGCTTAGTTTATTCAGGTTGTAAGTAGTTAGCACCTTTCTTTTGTTTTTTTGTAGCATTTCTGCCTGATTTGCTATGACTTAATTAACATTAATTCTTCAGACAATGACCCGCAGCTTTAAAATAATTTGTATTTAAAGATACTCCAATCATTGAGCAAATTTATTTTTTAAATTATATATAAGGCACATTATTATTTCATAGGGGAAGGTATATATTCTCTCTTATGTGTATGCAACTGCCATTACTCACATTTATAGAAATTGATGAAACAGAAAACGTCTTAAATTAAATAACTTAGACACTTGTATTAGTGAAACATATTTGTGAAATATAGGGTTGAACATGATACTCGAAGAATTTTTAATCGTTACGAAAATCGAATCGAAATCATTTCGAACCGAAAAATAACTATTGACCGTTTGACTTTCTCCGAACCGAAAAAATAATTGGTACGGTTCTGGAGATTTCACAAATATCTGTACCGAGAACCGAACCGGACCGTCTCATACCGTACCGAACCGAAGAACGGAATATAAGAACCAGATTATAACACTAGATGTGTTATTATTATATTTTATGTCAACTTTGATCCTATATAATATAGTAATAACTATTAACCTTCACTTAAATTTCATACTTAGTAATATTTAATCTACAATTGTATTTTTTTATTATATAAAAATTATTTAAAATAAATAACTATTAACCGACTTTTTTGGTACGGTTCCGGAAATCGAATTTTAGAATCTCCGAATTTTGGTACAGTTTTGGAGATTTATCAATCTCTGAACCGTACCGACTCATGCTCACCCCTAGTAAAATATTATTGATTGTAATAATTAATCTGATTAAATGTAATATTTTGTAAATAGTTGTTTGATAAATGTTTTGAATATTGTATTATTCACGAATCCTCTCAACTTAAAATGTAATTGTTTTAACGAGATATTTTATAATTAGTGTTTTGGGCTAAAAATATTAATTAAATAAGTTATTTACCAACTAGACCAATTAGCAAATTTAACAAATACTCCAAGCCTTTTGATAGAGAACCTTATATTTATTATTTAGAGATCGAACCAAACTTCTTTGTGTGGAACATAGGAACCGCTTTATCAATCACTCCAAAATATCCAAAATAAAATCTATATTTATATAAAAATGCATTCTATTTACTAGATTTAGTAGTAAGAAAAGTTAAAGGTAATTAATGCATTCTATTTCCATCAAGTATTTTATTTAATTATTTTAGTTAATTGTTTTATCTCATAACATATTTTCAATACAACTTACCATGATTTTTCTATTGTGATTAAAAACTAAATTTTACGTTTAAAATCTTGTAAAATTATTATTATTATTTTATAAAGCACATATTATTTGTTAAAAAATTGTATATATATAATACACATCACAGTACCATAGTAAATTATTTAAATTTCAACCGGCCAAAATGCCAATGACTTAAATTTGAACACACCTATGCGTTTGACCAAATGTCTGGATGATTTAAAATTGAGCCCATAAAAAATTATTTAAATTTGAACACACCAGAAATTTTATGTAATTTTTATTTATAAATATATTGAAAGTGGTATTTAATGGTTGTTATATAAACTATTTTAATATATTTGCAATGAATAAAAGTTTGAATGAATAATTTGTAATGTTATTCATAATGTTTGTGACTTATGATACACGAACACATAACTCCATACATATTTGTCAGATGTCGGCTTAATAATTTTTTAGACTTAATGTTGATTAAAAGATGTAGAAAATAGATAATAACATTATTATTTTTTAGACTTGAACGGACAAGGCTGTGAAAATAACTCATTTAATATCTTTGTCTCGTGCATCGCACGTGGTACGTACTAGTAATTATGAAGAACAAAAAATAAATTAATTTAACATTTGATTTTCTTTAATCAAACATAAAAAAGTTTCCTTCATAACCTTAATTAATAGACTTTGTCTTCTCCCTATTTTGTATATATATCTCCTCCATCAAATCCGCTCCACTCCAATTACTCCCATAACCAAGTCATTCAATTCATTTTATTTTATTTCATTTTAATTTCAATGTCTTACACAAAATAAAATGAAAAAATAAATAATAAAATAAATGGCTAGGTTTCACATTTAAGTCTCAAATTATAAATATATATATATATATAAAGCAGTATATAGCCTACATATTTTGCAACAGAACTTTGCTTTTTCAGAATATTTCTA